GGATCGTTCATTATCTTATCTTATCTACATAGTTAATCTACATCTTGTATCTAAATCTGGATCGTCATGGTGATCGGCGCTGATCCATCTGGATCCGCGCGACGTGGCGAAGGCTTCTCAGCCTTTCACCACGTCCACCATAGTATACGCCCTCTCAATCTAGAGATTGGTTCAGTGTACTTTGGACTTGTGTGAATCAGGCGACACCCGTATCATTACTACTTTTTTACACTTCATACCACGAATACGTGGGTTTCTAGATTGTATTGTGCGTTAGGCACCTACCATGACGGAACCCTCGACATCACACGCGACACACCGTGAGACCGCGAGCTCGACTCGAGCTTCGCCTCTGAGGCGGTCTCCCCGAGACCCGGACGCTTCGTCAGGAAGCTCTATCCCCGGAGGTCCTAGCTCGTCTGGCAGACGTGCGGACTCACCCCGAACCGGCGCTCCCCTAAGGTCCACAGGGACCCGCCGGTTCTCTGAGGACATAGCAAGTAGTTCGACGCCTACTGCTAGTCGCCGACAGGAAGTTGCTCCCGAGAATAGCTCAGTTCGAGCAAGCCTGGCGATATCGCAGGGTGCGGTAAACCCGACGTCAGTAGCGTCGAACCCCTTAAGGAACGTGACCATTAGGTCTAACCGAGATAGGAACTCTGCTGGTAACGCAGGAGCGTTAGCAGTATGAGACACCGCGGGGGATGGGGACAACGAGCCCTCCAATGCACTACCAGTGCGGAGGTCTCCGGTCATGCAATTGAGGATGCAACAGTTCCTCAATATTTTAGGGCGCACTGCCCAGCTTGGGGCGTATATAACTGAGGCCACCGACCAGGAATGGTCCCCACGTAGGGTGTTGTCTTACGTGGCGGAGAACCTCGAGATGGAGGGCGTACACACCCCGGCGACGTGGCTTCATAACCACGCGCTGGATCCAGAGGCAAGTACGCCCGAATGGGCGTCGCGGATCCTAGAGTCGTATCCGACTCGCCGCGCCAGGATAGTGGAGGAGAGCACTACTGAACAGCAGTCGGGGCAACAATTGCAACCACCACCACCTGAACCCGCGAACCAACAATATGCGCAACCGTCGGTTGCAGAGGTCGCGGACGAGTCACCGTCCCGACTAAATATAGCCTATGAAACGGCGACGGAGCAACTGCAGGAGTTGCCAGACATGGGCCTCGGATTGATACAGGATGGGGAAACTGTTCAACCGAACAGTAACCCTGCCCCTGAATTTCATCAACGGTTAGAGGCCGCACTAGCTCATACTCGAGACCAGCGCGAGCAGAACGCGGGCATCGCGGTTCAATCGAACCGCGTTGCGTCTCATCCAGGAAGTCGGGAGTCGCCTACAACCCTCGCCTCGAGGACACCACCATCGTATCCCCGAGGATACGGACCGCGAACCACCCGATCGCCCGCGCCGAATCTGCCGAACCAACAGGCGGCCGCGACGGTTAGGGTCACCAATGTGGCGGCCCAGCCAGAACGTTGCCGTAGCGTCTGCTTCGGACAGGACAACACCCACCGCGCACCGACGAGATCCTCGCCGTTAGTGGCCTACCCTCCCTACGTTGCACTCGGCGTGTCGGCACCGCCCACTCACGTTCATTCAAACATGGGCTCGATAAGTGGGCATCGCAACCGGCCTAGTGCACCACAGGTGCATCCAGCCGCTTCGGCCGCCCCGTACGTAGGAGCGACGTCCAACATTGGTGGATATCAGCTGCCTCTACTGGGTGGGCCGAGCCAGGTAGCGGCGAGCCCTGACCACACCAATCTCCGAGACAGTCTCAGGATCAGCATGATCCTGAGCATATTCGACAAGTGTCTGGGTGAGGACCCCGACGAACCACTACCGCCATACCTCAAGCAGATCAAACTGAAGGCACCCGACCCTTTCGATGGAAAGGACGACAACGATGCCTTCAACGTCTGGCTAGAGAATCTCTTGTCCTATCTGGACACCCTCAGACTGAGGGGACTGGACTTGGATATTCAGAGAATATCCTTCACCCGTCAGTGCTTGACGGGTGAAGCGGCAGTCTGGTATCAGCAGACGGTTACGTCGCCGATACGGCCAGTAGATAGGCCCATGTCACACCTCGAGTCCATCATAGGACTATACCGCCGTTTCATCCCAACGGATCAGTTCGCTGTAGCAGCGTGCGAGTTTGCGAGTGTTCGATTCGAACCTCACAATGGCGGGGTATCGAGGCTGTATGACCGACTGGTCTATTATGCGGAACGAATGTTCCAGCCGCCGACTCAACAGGACATCAAGGAGCGGTTTGTAGCAGCGCTACCCGCTTCCATCGAGCGCAAGCTGACTATCAGCCGGGGCCTGCACATTCGCCGCGGCGACTTCATGACATTCGTGTCTGCCGCGCGCGAGATAGAGGAAGCAATGGCTTCCTTTAGGTCGCGTCGAGGGCATGATGGGTCACAACAGCGGACGTCGACGTCGACGCCGCCGCGCCATAGCTCTACTTCCAAAGGGAAGTATCGAGAGGATCGACCCCCTTCTCAACAGGCCCCACAACCTCGACCAGGCGGTTCGGGTCAGAGACTGGAACAGAAAGGGCAACCTTTCCGTAAGGACGGTCAACCACATCGTCAAGAGGTACCGCGACAGGGACAGTCGAAATCGACACCTCCCAACATCAGATCATCGGGGGGTAACAACCCCAATGCTTCAAGTGCAGTGGACAGGGTCATATTTCGACTGACCCAAAGTGTCCACAATATGGCAAGTCCGGCCGTATGTACGCCCAGCGAATCGTCAACGCCGATGACTTGGACGGTGAGGCCGACAGCCTCTCTCAGCAGATCCTACAGCAACAGAGCGGTCCAGAGGACATGCCTGGAGAGGTCTAGGGCGACGTCGATGACGACGTGGATCTACCGGAGTCGGATTACGACGCCTACCACTTGGACTACGATTCTCCAGAGGATGAGCCTGACTGGGATGACGACGAAGGCCGCCGTGACAAGTTCTACGTCATGCGCGCCGAACCCGTCTTCGCGACCCCGGACGAGGAGAAGGAGGCGGTCCCGTCTTCCATCGAATACGATGCAAAGCGTATCCTGCAGTCCTTCCAATTGGAAGCCACGACCGCACCTACCAAATCCCTCAAGAACGCGTGGCTGTACGATTCCCGTATAGCCGGTTGAAGGATCCAAAGGATCAACCAGTGCGCGACCTGGAAGCCCAGCAGCCGATATGCATCGAGACGATGATTAACGGCGTGCCTGCGTACAGCCTGATTGACACGGGTTGTACGATGGTGGCCGTGTCACCAGGGCAGGCCTTCATCTCCAAGGCGGATCGAATCGATCTGCAGGAGCAGATGAGCCTACAGCTGGGCACGAAGGGCAGCCGCACGCGCATCAACCACGGTGCCCGAGCCATGATTAAGGTTGG